CCCGGGGCTGCCCTCTGGCACACCCTGAGCCTGGCTGTCCCTTGGGCTTGGCCACCCTCTTTCTTGAAGGTGCTTCTACAGACACCCCAACTAGCTGGAGGTAGAGGAGGGAGTGAGGAAGAGCTTCCCAAATAGCTTTGGGGGGGCTGGTGGTGGGAAGCAAGGATGTTCTTCCCAAGTGGAAGGGCAGGGGAAACCATCTCTGCTTTGGGGCACCTGTGCTGGTGCCAACAGGGGGTGGAGGGAGGTCAGAAGGTGCCGTGGCACTTCCCCCCCGTAGGGCAGCTCGTACTCTCCAACTTCAGAAGAAGTGCAGCTGGCTCTTGGATGGGAGTGATGCTGCAGAGAGCCGAGACCTGCCTGCTGCGTGCAGAACAGAGAGGAGCAAGGCAGGAGAATTTCACGCTCCTTTTGATAGAAAGTCTGAAAGGGCTTGGTGATGAGCAGCAGTCAGATAATTACAGAGCTGACTCCAGCTGCTCAGAGCGCTTCCTCTTGTGTCTGGGAACACAGATCCGCGCGTCCTCTACTTCATGAGAAAGGAATGTCTCCTGCGATTGAAACGCGGCTTTCGCAAAGCGTTTTGTCAATTCTTTCCACCCCCTCCCTGAAGGACCAGGAGCGTCCTAGAAACAGGCGAATGCAACCACCGAGATTTTTCAAAGCCCTGTACCAAGCCCCCCCAGGAGGATGTGTTCCCCCCTAGGTAACACCAGCAATGCTCTTCCGGCCCGGCGGGCTGAAATAACCCTGCTTCTGTCGGCGCAGGCAAAACGCGGAGCTGGCCAAGGTGCGGCAAGAGTGCAACAAGCTGCTGAAGGAGCTGGCTGAGAAATCGGAGGTGCTGCAGCAAGAGGAGCAGCAGAGGAAGAGCTGGGAGATCAAAGCGGCGGCCTCGGAGAAGCAGATGGAGCAGCTGCAGGTCAGGCGGGCGCTGGCAAACCCGCTCCCCTTGCGGAGATGAGGCAGGGGGCTAAAGCGCGTGGGATGGATGGACGTGGCCGTGGGGAGAGCTTGGAGGGAGACGAGAGTCCGTGGTTGGCAGGGCTTGCAGACCTCCTGCTTGTCTCCGCCCTGTGAGGCTGTCGCAGTGCTGTGCAGCATCGCCGGCAGAGCCCAGGGAGCACCACGTCCTGGCTGAGCTTGTTCTTCTCGCTGGCTTGCGAGGCTCATGAGACTGGCATGAAGGTGCTGGGAGAAGCCTAGATGGTGCAGGCTGCTGGGTGGTACGCAGAGGCAAGAGGAAGCCCCTTCCCCACCAGCCCGTGCTCACGTGGATGCGGGATGCTCTCTCTCGGCTCGGATGTTTTTTGCGCCTGTTGCTCTCCCCCCTGGGTGCAGGAGCTTGTGGGTTTTTTGTTGTCGCCAGGGTGTGGCTGAGTTTGGGGTTTTTAGGCATGTTTAGAGGACACCTCCCAAGCAGAGCCTCTGAGCACGCTGTCGGCAGAAGAAGGGGGAAGAGCATCTTCTGCGGGGGTGGCAGCACTCCTGCTGGGATTCGGCTGAGCCGGGGGCTGGGAGCATTGATCCTGGGTACCCCTGAGCAGGGAACTTGCACTCCTTTCCCCCAGGGGTGGCAGACAGGGTGAGCGATGTGATGAGTCCCTCCTGCACGTGGGACTAGGTGCGCCTAGAGCAAGGGGCCTTCGATATCATAGAATCGTAGAATCATGAAGGTTGGAAAAGACCTCAAGGACCATCAAGTCCAACCGTCAACCCAACACCACCCAACCCACTAACCCATGTCCCCAAGCACCACATCTACACGTTTCTTGACCCCCTCCAGGGATGGTGACTCCACCACTGCCCTGGGCACCAAAGCCTGATCATTCTTTCCGTGAAGAAATTTTTTCTAATATCCAGCCTAAACCTCCCCTGGTACAACTTGAGGCCATTTCCTCTTGTCCCATCACTTGTTCCTTTAGAGCAGAGCCCAGCACCCACCTCACTACTCTATCCTTGCTCTTCATTTTCTGGTGAGGGTGCAGATCCCCTTGTGATGGGCTGTGTTTGGCCCCCGCTGCTTTTGCAGGCAGGGAGCTAGGGGGGTGATGTGGGCACGCAGCCGGTGTGAAGGCAGAAGCCGCCTTTCCTGGCTCAAAACACCAGCTTCTAGGCATGCTTTCAGGAGGACTTCTCCAGGGCCGCCAGCTTGCTGCACACCCTAACACTCATTAAATAAAGGCTTTAAAGCCAGCTGTATGTGTACGGTGCTGCGGAGAACGTGCTCCAGAGCAGCACCTGGAGCTCCGAGCTGAGGATATGGGGTCAAATCCTCAAAAAAAACGGAGAAGCTCTGCTTTCTTGGAGGTTCTGGTAGCATCACTCAGACAGAGATGGGGCTGCTGATTTACCTTCTTCAGCCCTCTCCACGCAGAGCAATGCTTCTCCATCTGCAAGGGTGTGACATGTCCCCGTGGAGCTGCTGGTTTGCAGCACGCTCCTCGTCCTCCTCCTCTGCCTTCCCCCTCGAGGCGCCTGCCTTGGCCAGAGCTCGTCCTCGCTACTCTCTAAGGTGGAAAAAATAAAAAGATAGCCTTCCCTGGCCCAAACCGCAGAGAAAATTCCTCCCCATGTGGAAACACGTGGCTGGGTGTCTCCGTCCCATCCCGCTAGGCGCTGCGGCAGCACCTCTCCCTGCCGGGCTGGAGCTGTGCATTAGGACCGGGGCTTTAAGAGGTTTTTCAGATCTCAGCTCTCCGCAGGGGAGGATGGCCGTGCTCTTGGCCCAGAACTGAGACGTTCGGGTGTTGTCTGCTTCCCGCTTGAGGGCTGGCAAACAATAAAACATGAGCGCAAGGCAAGATGCTTCATGCACGGGGGGGAGCACAGGGGAAGGACGACTTAAACCCCCCAAAGCACAGCTTAAAAATAACCTTATGCAACACGTGGAGCTTTACTTCAGATTGTCCGGGGTGCCCGGCACGCTATGAAAAGCCTTCTCGTCCTGCTGCGCAGGCTTCCCAAAGGGAGGTGGAGGCGATGCTGCAGAAGAGGCTGGATGAAGTAAACGACGAGCTCCGCAGAACGCAGACCACCTACAAAAGCTTGTTAGCAGATGCAGAAAAGTCCAGAGGACAGCAGCAGAGCATCGCTGGTGAGGACCTGGGGTTGGCACAGGGAGAGCTGGGGGGGCAGATGCAGAGCTGTCGGGGCTGGGTGCTCGGTGGGGCTGGTCGGGGCAGAGCCAGGGGTGAGTTAGCCTGCCCGGTGTCGGTGTGAGCAACATGCGGGACAGGTCCCTGGTCCGATTCTGGGATGCCACTCTAATGCCTGTCTCCTGTGCCACCCTGCATCCCTTCCAGCCCTTTCTGTGCCTCCTGAAAGCATCCACGGCCAAGGCTTCTTTGGCCAAGAGTCCTGCTTTGGGCAGGGCAGGGTGGGGAGTGTCCAGATCTGTTTGTAGCTGCCTCACTGTGCTTCTCATCCCTTCTGCCAACAGAACTGCATGCCAGGCTGCTGAGCTCCGAAGCAGAGGTTAAAAGCAAGTTGCTGGAGCTGGACAACGTGAAGGGGAAACTGCAGGATGCCAGCTCGGAGAATACGAAGCTTCTGGAGAGGATCAAATCCATCGAAGCTCTGCTGGAGGCAGGCCAGATGAGGGAGGCAGAAAAAGACAGAGATCTGCAGGTCGCCTGCTCGTTTAATTTGGGTGGGAGGAGGAGAGGGGGTTACACCACCCAAGCAGGTGTTTTTGCCCTGTGTTAACACAGCGCCTCTGTTATCTTTGCTCTGGGATGCTGTGGGAAGGGCTGACCGGCATCACGAGCCTCGGACAGGTGATGGAAGTGTTTTCTCTCTTCCAGGCAGCCAACGAAGCAGAAATGAAGCAGCTGCAGTCAAGGTGGGTCTAGGTGCACATGGAGATGGCTACAACACCTCCAGCGTGCTGTCCATGTTTTCCCAGGCTTCCCCGGGTGCTGAGCCCCATGGGTGAGGGCTCTCTGCCCTCTGCGTTAGGCAGACTTGGGGACTGCAGAGTTGGGAAGGCAAGGTCAATCCTGGCAAACACCACTGTCTAAAATATTCATTGGTGTCAGTGCTGGCCCCAAATAACAGCCGGTCTGTTCTGAAGTGAGGCTGCAATTGCTGTCAGGCACGTGGAGGCTGACCAGTCCTGCAGAAGAGGAGGTTCTGGTGGTGTCGGTGCTGGGGGCGGGATGTCTCTGATCCAAGTCCCTGCTCAAAGCTGGGCCAACCAGAGGAGCCTTTTTGGGGATGTTAATCATAGAATCATAGAATTGCTAAGGTTGGAAAAGACCTCAAGGATCATCAAGTCCAACCATCAGGCCAGCACCACCCAACCCACTAACCCATGTCCCGAAGCATGTTTCCAGGTATCTCCAAGGATGGAGATTCACCACTTCTCTGGGTCCCCGTTCCAGTGTTTGACAGCCTTTTCCCTCCAGTGCAGAAAGCTTTCCTGGCATTTAACTGGAGTTTCCCATGTCACGACTCATGCCTGTTGCCCCTTGTCCATGTGTGGGGCAGCTCTGAGAAGGCTTAGGCTCTGCATGGAGGGAGGATTTCTCAGATGCCTCCCCTGTCTCTAAATGAGGGCAGCTGTTCAGTTGTCCTGGGACCCCAAGAGACTTGGGTGGTTCTTGTCAAGGATCTGAACTTTCCTTGTTCTGCTCAAGCCGAGGTTACCTTCAGGGCAGGTGGTGGATCTGAGGGTGTGGAGGGAAGTTGCAGGCTCTCGGGTGTGTAGTCAGAAACCCTGATTTACGGTTCCTGAAGACAGTAGGATGATGCTTTCAAAATGCAGAGCTGTGGGCTATCTCAGCCTAACGAGCTGTGGACAGGAGCAGTCCCAGTTGTCTAAGCTGTAATTTCTGGCCTTTGGATCAGGTCCCATCTTCCTCTTGTCCTAAGTGTACACTCAGCCAGCTACTCGCTTGCTTGTTGTTGCTGGTAAGCCGGTAGAAAACTAGATCCCACTCCAGCATCGCCATGGCCATGGTTTTCAGTCCCACACCCTCCTCCTCCCGCAGTGTGTAGGTCCCTGAGCAGACTGGGATAGGAAGAGCTGTGGCCCCCTTCTCGACAGCTTGTTACCTGCGAGGAATGGGGATGCTGAGGCTCACTCCTGCATCCTGTCCTTCCAGGCTGCAGGAGAAGACGGACCAGCTCTCGTCCTTGGAAAGGGAAGCCGCAGAGCTGCGAGAGGCGGTGGAGCAACAGAAGACAAAAAACAATGTACGTGAGCGAACCGCTATCAGCTTTTGCTGCTCACGATTCTTTCCTCCAAAACCCAGATCTCTGGGGTTTGAGTGGCAACCCATTGTAGTTGGCTACCGATGGCTCTATGGTGCAGCCCCGTGGAGTGCTGGAGGCATCGCCTCGTCTGCCGGAGAGTGGGAGTCCCCCCCCGGCAGCTGTGGAAGGGTCTGTCCCCTGTTTCCTTGGGAGGTTTAGTACCTGGTAAGCCAGGAAGATCCCACCCTGGTGTGACGCGTGGCTTACCTTGCCCTCTGTGTGTGGTCTCGGCAGGACCTTCGCGAGAAGAACTGGAAAGCGATGGAAGCGTTGACCACAATGGAGAAGGCATGCGAGGAAAAACTACTTGCTGCTACGAAAGCAAAGGTGAGCCCAGCGTTTCTCTCTAGCAGCGATGCTGGTTTTTTTTTCGTTCAGCCTCCCTGAGCCACCGGAGATGCTTGCCCTGGGCTGTCTGCCTCCTGCCAGCCCTCCTGCCAGCTTCTCCAACGTTTGTCTTGAGGGACATGTATCCCTGGTGCGGGTTGTGGTCAGGGAATTGGGACGATGGGTGAACTGGAAGGGATGTTTTCGTGGTTCCCAGCGGCAGCGGTTTTCTCTGTTGGCTGGTTTCCCCGTGCCGGCTCCCCGCTGTAGGCACAGAAAAGCAGGACTGGTGTTGGCAGCCTGGCCGGCAGGCGCCCAAGGCGTCCATCCCATGCCAGCTTGTCCCTCTTACAGGAAGAGCTGGCCCAACAGCTGGATGCGCTCCGGACACAAACCAAGCAGACGCTGCTCTCTGCGCTCCCCGGAGTCACCGTGTCCCCCCAGCAGGTGGGCACTGGCTTTCCGAGACCCCCACAAAGCCTCCGCTGCATGGGAAGGACAGGTGTCTAAGCACCCTTTTTCTTCCTTGTCCTCTTTTTTCCAAACTCAGGATTACGACACGTGGCTCCAAGAGTTTAAGGAGAAGACCGCGGATGTGCTAAAGCAGCAGATGGTCACGACAGAGCCCCCAGTGAGTGCAGGGGCTGGAAGGTGGTGGAGGGGCGAGGGCATGCCCGGGGGTCGCTTGCTGCTTTTCCTCACCTCTCTCTCCATCCCTTCCCTCTCTTTTCAGGATTCAGCACTTAAATTAAAAGAGGCGGAGGAAGCACAAAGCACTTTACAAGCAGAATGTGAGCAGTACAGGGCTATCCTGGCAGAGACGGTAAGCTGCAGCCCTTTGCACCGTCTTGGTGTTCTGCTAGAAATACCTCTTGAGGTGGTCTCCTGGCAGCCCCGGCTGCCCGTGGGCTCACGGTGGGCATCCCTCAGTATGCTGGGGGGCTGCCACATGGAAGACAGATTGCCAGTGAGACTGGGGAATAGGAGGAACCTGAATTTCCAGAGCTCTTCTTCAGCCCAGTTGTGTTGGGAACCTTCCTGGCGGTGGTGGGAGGTGGCACAGCAAGAGCGCCGATGAGCGGGGTGGTAGAGCCAGCCTGGGAACTGGGAGCCCCTCGCCCCACCTGGGGCTAATTCTGTCACCTGTTCTTTGGCCCAAATCCTTGAAGAGGCATTGGCTACACCAGGGATTTCCAGCCCTGACCTTGCTAGGCTCGGGAGGGCTGGGGGAGGTTTGGGCCCAGCTGAGACTTTGCCAACAGGAGGGGATGCTGCGAGACCTGCAGAAGAGCGTGGAGGAGGAGGAGCAGGTGTGGAAAGCAAAGCTCACGGCGTCTGAAGAGGAACTCCAAAAGGTGCATGTTTGGGGCACACCTGGGTTTGTCACTGGTGGAGCTGGACCTACAGGAGCACAGGGCTGCTGGTTAAATCTCGGATGGCGACCCTGACTGTTCCTGCCCACCCTGAACTCTGAGATACAGGGACTTCCTCTTCTCCCCAGTTCCACCCCTCCTGTCACCAAACCAGCAGACAAGAAGCCCACCTCAGGTGGGAGCTCAGCCTGTCTTCCTGCTGGGTCCCCCCCTCCCCTCCGGGCACGTGCCCAGACCCTGCCGGTGGAGCTGCAGGAGTGGTTGCAGCTCCCCGTTTCAGGCGTGGTAGTTGGGAAACCACGTCACCGCTTCGGGAATCCAAGGCTGGAAATGGGGCTGAGCTCTCCTGGTGGGCGCTGGCTGGACGGCAGAAGAGAACGTGCAGGGCTCTTGGACTCCCCTTTTCAGCAGAACTTGGCTTGCTCTCAAAACCCAGGTTGACCTTGGCATCCGTTGAGCCTTCAGAAAGGAGGTGAGGTCCAAGCCACGTACTGCACATGGTTTTGGGTCCAGCTGTCTGTCTAGCTCTGGGTACCGCTCTTTCTGGCTAAAAAGCCAGCCGGCAGCTGCCAGAGAGACGTCGTTGCCCAGGGGTTTGGTGGGGAGCGTGTTGCATGAGCTCTTGTGACTTAGCTGGAGCCTAGGAGAAGTTGGCTGGCTGTGCCTTTTTTGCAAAGCAGACTGAAGTTATCTCCTCCCTCTTGAACACAGAACTGAGATGAATCGACTTTCCATGGTCTGGCTGCTCCCCGTCCATCACATGGCGTTTGGAAGTTAACCGGGGCTGGGGGGAGGCGGGGCAGCTCATGTACAAGGGATCTTTGATTTTCCAGCCTGTTGCTGGCTCCTGCAGCGCCGGCGCTGCTGGCGTAGCATTGCACGGGGATGACGTGGCCGGTGGTGTGCTGGCAGCGGGGCGTGCGTGATGGGATGAACGTCTGGTGGCTCGGGCAGGTCCCAGAGCAGCTCTGCCTCTCTGTGGAGAAGAGGCGAATTCCTCCTTTCAAAAAAATTCATCAACCGTGGAGTCCTCTTCAAAAATCAGGTTTAAATGCAAACCCCGTGCTTTTTCTGGTAGCTTGGCATGTCAATAGCAAAGCCCATGACCCCTAATTGGAAAGTCTACCTTGCTGCTCCCAAACCAACGGCGCTTTCTGTAGGAAACTTGCACTGAGCCCCCCGGTGCCAGTTTCTTGGGTGTTGAAAGCTGCCTGCAGACAGCTGAAGTCCTGCAGGCTAAAGCTGTGACCTGGCTTCACGGGCTATGGCCTGGGCTTGTTGGACTTGCCTTCCCTGGGAAGAAGAGGAGCTCCTGCCCTGCAGGCTGTGGAGTTCTACTTGGGTGTCAGGGCTCCTCTGCCCTCAGGTCCAGGGTGAGGTGGGAGTGAAAGGATGTCCGGTTTCTGGTTGAATGAAAGATGCTTAGTATCCACATAAGACACCATTGACTGACCTTCTCTGATCCCTTCTGGCTTAGTCACAACTCCAGCTGAAGTCCCTTGAAGACATGGTGCAGAAGTTGAAAGCGGATCTGCAGAGCACAGATCAGGTGAGGTTTTGGGGTCCAGGAGAAGGTCCCCACGCTGGTGCCAGACGGGTGCGTGCTGTGCTTGGGCTGAGTTGGGACCCATCTCCTGCCTTGCCCTGGTGAAGGCAGGCTTGGACCATGGGATGTTGGGGATGTGTTGGAGCTCAAACCATCAACCCCCTCCTGCTTTCCTCCCTTTCCATCCAGCTAAAGGAATACACCTCTCTTCTGGAAACACAACTGGAAAATCACTTGGAGACAGCCAGCTCCGAACGACAAAACTACACAAAAGAAGTTCAAGTCGTAAGTGTGGGAGATGTTACCTTCTTAAATGCTTCTTCTAAGCCTGACTCACCACCCATCCGCATTTCGGGGAGCTGAGGAGCGTCCCAGGGGTCTGCAGCTTTGCAAAGCAGGAGAAAACAGATGGAGGCATTTGCTCCGGTCGGGGCTGTAGGCACCCAAAGTCAGGAGATCCATTGGCAAGGTGATGGGACAGAGAGATCTGTGTGGAGATGATGTCCAGTGCTCCTCGGTGGCCTGTGGGACTTGTGTGGCTCAGGCCAGGCGGAGCTGTCTCACGGCCGTTTCTCTCTCTGAGCAGGCGTTAGCTGGCAGGTTAGCGAGTGGTGCCATCGTGGCCTCTTTGAGAAGATGTTGCATCTTAAAAATGCTTCCTTGGGCCACAGGGTTCCAAACCCAAGTGCATAAATGTTTTTTTGTTGTTGTTTGGTTTTTTTTTTTCCTTTCTGGTCCTCCTCGACAGTTGAGGCAGCTCTTGTCAGAGTCCCAGGAGCAGCTGGAGGCAGCGAAGACGGAAACTCAGAAGCAGAGCAAGGAGCTGGCCCTGGTAAGGGGGACCCCTGGAGCTGCCCTGCTGGGACCCCGCTGCTCTGCCTGGGGCTGGTTTGCAAACCTGGCGGTGGGGCCGGCGCCCTCCCTGCGGGTTCGGGGAGAGGAGGAAGGCACAGCCAGGGCACGGGGCAACCTGGTGCTGCCAGGCACCAGGCTGATCTGCCTTTCAGAGGGGATGTTTGAGTCCCAGGAGGAGGTTTTTATTCACCTGCCTTTCCTCCTGTGATGGGATGGGAAGGAAGGGAGAGCAGCAAGGCTTGTGCAAGCTGGCGTGTAGCAGAAAAACCCAGCTGCCCCACCACTGGACACTGCTTACGCCAGCACCACCCTGGGGCAGGGGTTTGGGTGCCTTAAGCATCCATCCATCCATCCATCCATCCATCCTCCATCCATCCATCCACCTCCGCATGGGAGGACTGAGGCTCTGCAGCCCATGTGTGGGGGTTGCTCGGGGAGCTAAAGGATGGGGCGAGGTTTCTGCAGGCACGGGGTGGGGAGAGGGCTGGGCTGTATAAGGCCAGGGGAGCTAACAGACCTGCTGAAACCATGAGGGCTGTTGTTTTAACATCTGTCCTTTGATCGCGAGAACATCAGGAGGTTGTTTTTAAAGCCCTTGGCGGTGCCGCTGGCTTGCAGAGCCGCTCGGAGCGGAGCGAGCCAGGAATATGGGTTCTCTTGGTGCCGTGACTCCTCCCAGCCCTGCAGCCGCCAGCGCCCAGCTTGCTCAGTGAGCCCGTGCAAGGGGACGCGGCGTGGGGTCATCATCAGCCCTCATCCCATCAGATGGACGGGTGGTTGTAAGCGTGAAGCACGTTTGTGTTCATCCAGCAACCTTTCCTCTCAGCTCACAGCTCGTGCAAACCCTCAGCAGTGGCTTGTAACCGGGAGCGATGGGGGGAGAACAGACGAGGTGCAAGCGTGTGCTCTGCATCTGTGGGAGCTGTCTTGCCTCAAGCTGCCCAGGTTAGGTCTAGCAGAAACTGAGGTGGTTTTCCAAACATTTCAGCTTGCGTGCAAGGAAGAAAGCCAGCAAACTTCATCTCTAGGTCCTTGGGGGGGATCTCGTGATGGCTGCAGTGCAGGGATGTGTGACTGAGCCAGGCTTGCTGGTCCTCCTTCCAGGTCAGGCAGCAGCTGGGTGAGATGAAGAGCCGTGTACAGGATGGAACAGTAGTGGGGTTACACGCTGACCCAAGCAAGCCTGCGCCCCTCGAGGTTAGGGTGGTGAGACCGCTGCCCACGGCGGTGCTGACCCTTAACCGCATCCCTTGTCCCATCCTGTCTCACCGTCTCTAACCGCATGGAGAGCTGCACAAAGCTTTGCTCAGGGCAGTTGTGGCTGCGTTGTCTTGCGTCCTGTGTGTTAGGGGGAAGCCAGCCCCCCCGTCCCTTCAACCACACATCCTGCTCCTGCTGGGAACACGCCCCCAGCCGCCGTTCACCAGGCTGCTCCCCTTGGGACCCCTCTGTCCCAGCACCGGGCTGGCAGGATTTGGGGGAGGCAGGCAGGGGATGCTGCCAGCCCTGGGGCCAACGCTGCCGTGCAACAGTGCCCCGGTGTGTTCAAGGCTTGGGTCTCCTTGGAGGAAGGGGCCACCCCGACAGAGCCGCACCCTTCCCAGCTGGTGAGGATGAGGATTACAGGGGCTCTGTAAATCCTGCTGGAGCTGGGCTGGGTGCATTGGCAGCAGCTGTTCCCTTTCAGGCGGTGGTGCTGTCACGAGCCAGGCTGTCTCTCTCCTCCCGTTAAGTGTGGAGCCTTCTGGGCATGGGGACCTGCTGGGCACGTCAAATTTGGCAATGCAAGGCCAAGCCCCAGGCTCGGCATCAGCATCAAGGAGGAGATGCTGATACTTCTTGCCTTTTGGTGCCCTGGGGAAAGCTTCAGGTTTCGTTTCTATTGTCCAGCCCAGCTTTCTTGGCGATGTCCCTGCTAGTTCATCTCTTGGGTCTTTTCAAAAATTTTATTTCTGGGTGTTTTCCCCTTTTCTCAACACAGTTGAAAACCCAGCTGGAACAGAATGAAATGCTGGTGGAGAAGGAGCAAGTGCTGCGGCAAAACCTGGCACTGGAGCTGGAGGAGGTGGGTGCAGGCGAGGATGATACAAACCCTTTGTGGGTTCTTGGCTGCTAATGTAGCCCAAGAATCAACTTGAAGAATTAATCCTGAGGGGTTTTCCTCCTCCCTGACCACGTCTTGGACATCACTGCATTCCCTTACACATCTGAAGAACTTCTTGCAGCAGCTGTGCTAAAGCCCTGTGGCATCGCTGGTCCCTTGCATCGCCCCTCTCCCAGTCCCCCCATGGTTTCTCGCCAGCTCTTTGAGGGTTAAGGGCTTTAGCTGGGTTTCGTGCTGCTTCTGGCGAGAAACCCTGTCTTCCCACTGGAAGCTGGGTCACCAAAAGCGATGCCTTGCGTTTAGCACCGAACCATCCGACAGCGGCTGTGTTCACCGGGGGCAGAGCCGCTGGGGAGCCGGGGCTGGACAAGGCGGGATGCAGGAGGTGTCTGCTGCCGTTAGCTCGCATGCTGATGGAGGGCATGTCCCCATTGCAGGCCCAGAGCTCCGCGTGCAGTTTGCAAGCAGAGCTGGAAAAGCTGAGACTGGCTGAAAACGCAGCGGCTTCGGGCACGGAGGAGGCGCAGCATCTCCAGGTGATCACAGAATCATAGAATCATGAAGGTTGGAAAAGACCTCAAGGATTGTCAAGTCCAACTGTCAACCGAACACCACCCAACCCACTACCCATGTCCCAAAGCACCACATCTACACGTTTCTTGACCCCCCTCCAGGGATGGTGCCCCCCCCACTGCCCTGGCCAGCCTGTTCCAATGCCTGTCTCTCTTTCAGTGAAGAAATTTTTTCTAATATCCAGCCTAAACCTCCCCTGGTGCAACTTGAGGCCATTTGCTGTGGGCTGGTGGGGATGAGAGTCGCGTTGTGGGAAGCAGTCATCTCCAGGTGGCAAGAGCCATGGCTGGAGTTCTCATGCGTGGTGGAAGCTAAGCCCAGTCCCAACCAACAGCTCTATCTTCTTGCCAGTGATGCCTGGCACT